AGGAGAAAATTTTATAGCACATTCAGGAGAGAACAGGGAAAGAGTGATAGAAAACTTTCAGATTAAAAAAGCAGGCTGACTTCCACATGCAGTAAATATAAATCAATCCATACGTAGCAGCTAGACACCAAAGAGGCGGAAAGTAAGGAGCAGCAGTGTGGGCACCGAGGCCTGCGCTGGGTGGGGCGCGGCCGCGTGGAGGGCTGCAGTGCCTCCAAGGCTGCCGAGAAGGGGCCGATCTGGCTGTGGCCCCACGACACCGGACGACGGGCCGGAGCAGCCCGCAGGCCGGCAGAAGTGAACGGCCAGCAGGGATCGGGGTGCGCTCTGTGCAGGCCCCATCTCACTGCTGAGAGAAGGCCTACACTAAGTGTGTTCTCTGGGTGTGAGGCCGAAGGCTTTGTTGGTTTGTGTATTTTATTTATTTATTTATTATTGAGTTTATTGTTACATTTTAGGTATACAGTACAGTTACATTCATTATTGGGATCTTGTAACTTTACATGACAGGTCTTGGTTCTCATTTTTTCCCTTTGTCCCTGCCCTCCCTTCACCCCCGGTTCCCCTCCCCATTTACAAATACTTTATTTTCATTTTCGCATATTTTTTCTTTTCCCTTATTCCCTTTCCCCTACCCTTCCCACTTTCCCTATATCTTTAGCCTTTTCTTCCTATTTCACATTGTCAGTTATCTCATTAGGATCTTTTGGTACTATTATAGTTTATTCACACCAGAGAAACTACTCGGTATTTACACGTGTGACTTATTTATTTCACTTAGGAGTATATCCTCAATATGTATCCATTTTCCTATGAATGAATCTAATTTCTCATTCTTTATGGCTGAGTAGTACTCCATTTTATAGAAAAACCACATCTTCCTTTTCCACTTTCCAACTGATGGGCAATTGGGCTGTTTTCACGTTTGTGTATTTATTTATTTATATTTGGTACTGGGGATTGAACTTGGGACCTGGCACTTGTGAGGCAGGTGGTGGCACCACTGAGCTACGTGCCTGGCCCTGGTCTGTGTATTTTAAAGAGCAAGCGATCCTCACACACATTTGCGGTCTTTCCATGTGGCCCTCGGCCATCTAGGATCCAGGCACTTCCCATGGTGGCCTGCAGGTCAGCGTGTCTGTCTATGGGGGGGTGAGAGGCCACGCTGTGGTCAGTGTGGAGAAAGAGGCTGTCCTCTATGAATCTAGTGCCACTTTCTCTTCATGACGACGGCCTCTCCTGAAGCCACAGAAGGCCACCTCTAATAAGCCACAGTGCTGTGGCGCAGTGGAGTCACCCCAGAGAGGCCTCTGTCAATCAGGGATTCGATAGAACATCAAATAAAGCAAAGAATCTTGTGTTTCTCTTTTTAATCCAAAATACCCCAAAGAAAAACCAAATGTCTAGGGCAGTAAGTATTTTCATTTACTTACTCTCAATTATTTAACTTCTCAGTCTCAGAATAAAAAACTAAATAAAAAGGGCTGAGAATGTAGCTCAGCAGTAAAGCACTTGCCTAGAATGCGTGAGGTCCTGGGTTCAGTCCTCCATATCCATAAAAAGGTCTGTTGGACTGGTCTCATTATTTAATACCTTCTACCATTGCAGTGTGTCTGATAAAAAAGTATTAGAAGCATACAGATAATTCATTTTATTTGTGTGTTGTGGTACGGTCTGTGCCTTGAACATGGACCTTTTCATTAAGGAGAGTTGGGATTTGCTGTGGGATGTGGGTCAGGCGTGGCGTCTGGCATCTCACAAGCTGAGTGACCACCCGCACACTGTCACCCTGAATGGGCCTGTGGTGGGTGAGTCTCCTCTGGGGAGACCCGGGCAGGTCTCCAGGGCCCCTGTAACTTCTGCTGCAGCTCCTGGACCCTGCAGTTGACTGGGCGGCAGCCCCGAGGTGCTAACTCCAGTGCTTGCTGGTGTTCTTTGCTCCCTAGCTGCCGTTTCATTTTCTCGACAGCTTGAATGACCTTGTTCCTTTAAACGGTCTTCGGAAACCGAGTGGGCAGTAAGTGGTGCTGCCCGGTGGAGGCCGTTGGCCTGCTCTGTAGAAATGCTCTGGGAGTTATTAGTGTCTCACATGTGCTTCTTGAAAGAGCACCGGTTTTCTTCTGTCCCCAGGCATGCCCACTTGAGTGCCATCGCCATCTGGGACCTGGCGCCCATGGTTCCCCATCCCCTCGTCCTGCTGCTGCCAGGACCCAGAGGAATTTCAGTGGTCAGGCTCATGGCGGACCTCGGCCTCCACCCCACATTCTGCTCTCTGCTCCAGTGACACACAGATGAGTTGTGCTTTCTTTCCATTTAGGTTTTTTCTACTTCACATTTTCTCATCTAGTTACTTTTTAAATAATTGAACTGACTTCTCTGCCTTTCCTGTTACTATGTCCAGGGATTCAGCTTCCCACTGCACCCCGTGCTTGCAGAGCCTTCTGTCCATCACCACCCTAGTTTGCCATCGTCCTTCTTCCTTCGGCTCATCACTTAAAACAGAGCCCTTTGTGCTGCTGGAGGCCCTGCAACATGTGGTCTGAGGACCAGGAGGCCACTGGCTTGGGACTCTCCCTGCCCCTGCAGCGGAGGAGGGTCAGAGGAAGACTGTGGGTGGAACATAGGCCTGATACCTATTATCAGTAGAGGAGAGGGCAGCAGGTAGGCTGGCTCTCACTGCGGTGATGCTTGGCACCCTCAGCTCCCCGTGTGTGCTGGCGGACGGCCGGTAATGAAGGAGGGTCCGTAATATTAACGCATTCTGTGGTATCACCAGCACCTCGAATTTCTAACAGATGCCAAGCACTCATGGGGCTTGAGTTCAGAACACAAATACAATGGACCCTTGACTTAGGAACTCAGTTCATTCCTGAGGGTTGGTTGTAACTACAGCTGGTCGGTGAAGGCCCAGGCTTCTCTGCACAGCCTCCAAAGTCTCTCTGCTGTACACAGGTGGATCTCAGTGTCCTCAGAGAGACCCTGGCCCAGGATTTCTCAGTGAACCCCACACAGGATGTCTTGATGCTCCTTCCAGATCTCTTTAAGGGTTAAATCTGTATCTGGAAGCACAAGCGGACAGACGGCATTTGGGTTGTAACTCAAGACTTTGGTCATAAGTTAAAACTAAAATTCTGGTCATAACCCAAGAGGTTCATATCACTCCAGTTGTAACTCCAGGCTCTACTTTTTTTGTTTGTTTTTTGGTACCAGGGATCAAACTCCAGACCTTGCACTTGCGAGGCAGTGGCAGTGCCACTGAACCAAATCCCAGCCCAGGGTCTCCTTTTTTAAATCTCCAGATTTCCATTTTCTTTGTTCTAAGGAACATGCACATTGATAGCAGTTGATAGCCATTGTCATCTTGCTGTGAATTTGTGACACCCCGGTTAAGCCGAAAGTCATGGGAACTTGGAAGAGGAGGTCGCTGAAGCCCTGTGTTGTGTGTGTGACGGTTAGAGACTGAGCCGAGGTCCTGTGTCTGCATAGCTGTCTGCTGAGCATGTGTGGGATGGATGTGGACAAGTGGGTCACATGCGAGGGAGCTTGTGCTACTGTTAGCAAAGCCACAAAGTGATAACCATCTTGGGAAATGGAGCCTCATTTAATTAAAAATATCTTTCTGAACCATTAGATAGACTTTGCCTGATTACTGTTCCTCTCTGTGGTAAGGGGTTGGCCCCAACACATCCTTGATCTCTGTTAGCAGCTTCCCAGCTCTGAGTGTGAGGCACCGTGTTAGAGGCTGCATGTAACCGCTGTCTTCCAGCAGAGTTGTTTATTCATTTGGGCTCCTCGCTGTATGAGCAGAGACCCACTCTTAGCGATGTTAGCGCAGGGCCTTTCTTTACTGGACTTCATAGAATTGATGAGAGCAAGCGAAGGACTTGTCTGGGAATAGACAGCAGACAAGGCAGATGGACCTGCCCAGAACCAATGGGACCTGGTGGGATTTATACAGCCTCTGGGCTCTGGGACCCTTTGTGGGGTGAGGGGGGCCCTGCTCAGCCCCGCAGGCCTTTAGACAGCACATCGTCTGGAAGGAAGTCAGGATGACCCGATGAGAGGAATTTATGCTGAGCACCCAGAAGCAAGGCATGGCCGGCACATGGTGCGAGGCTAATAAGAGTTTTCCTTTAGGAAACGAGGCTTAGAGAAGCGAGCAGATGTCAGCTCTGTGAGGCCTGCCTGTGGGTCTGTCTGCTGCTGTCTCACCCCTTCTCTCGTGGTTTGGGGCCTAGAAGAGCCGTCCTGTGCAGCCCTGACTTGTATGCTCCTAGGCACGGCTGGCTGGGCCGGAAGGTCTGAGGAAGCAGCTCCTCTGGGTAAGGAGCGGCCTTGGAGGTCCTCTTACCCGAGCACTCACTGTTCACACCGTTCACCTGGTGGCACATCTTACTGTTGGAGGTTTTATATTTTAATGTGTTTCTTAGTGACCACTTCACTGCCTTCATCTGGATAAATTCAGCCCTCAGTCTGATTTTATTTGGTTGTTAGGAGGTTTGATGTATGTGGCACGTGCAGTCCGTAATTTTGCTTAGAATATTAAGTTATGCTGGCTAACCTTGCTGTGGAGAAAAGATAATGCAGTCCTATGCCTTATTCTGATTTTTCCCATTAAAAGGAGAATGCAGCCTTCCAAAAAGAAGTGAATTTTGATATGCTGCAATATTGGGGGGCATATATTGTTTTGCCTAACTGTGAACACTTAACATCTACAGTGGGCTTCCTGGTTATAAGAAGGAAACAGAAAAAAACATTATGCTGAAATAAATACATTGCCTTAATCACACGCATACACACACACACACACACAAAAGGAAACAGCGCTTAAGTGCAGTTGTATTGGAATGATGGTGTAGTGACAGCCCTGCCGGCGTCCCTGTGAAGCCTGATGTGTAGCTGCTGCTGTAAGCGTTGGCATTTCTGCTGCAGAGCACAGTCTGGACGTGTCGCGTGTCACCCAGAGGCGGGCAGAGAGCTGACCTCCTGTGTTCTTTCAGCACCCAGTGCTCGATGAGCCGATAGCGGAAGCCGTGTGTATTATCGCAGACACGGACAAGTGGAGTGTCCAGGTGGCCACGAGTCAGCGGAAAGTGACGGATAGCACGAAGCTGGGCCAGGACGTGCTAGTGTCCAGTCAGGTGTCCAGCTTACTTCAGTCCATTCTGCAGCTTTACAAGCTTCACCTCCCTGCTGACTTTGTGAGTATTTGTTCCTAGCCGATCGAAGAGATATCAAATACTTTTAATGATGTTTTGATGAAAATCATGAATTCAGACGTATTGTTTTATTATGACTGAAGGTCAGCAGTAAGTGAAAAGGGAACAGACAGCATAAGAGCAGCAAACAGGGCAGATATTGCAGCCACAGCAGCCTTCTGTGCAGCAGGTCGTGCAGAGCACATCGGAGTCCTTTTGCGCAAGACATGATACAGTAAACGAATATGGGAGGGATGTAGTGTGAACGCAAACTCAAGGTCCTCTTGCGGAGAACCCTCAGAGCGGTATGAAGCGGGCCAGTTTCCAGACTGTCCTTGTTCTGCAGCCATCCTCATGAAATGTCAGGGTCAAGAGGTAGAAGCAGTTTGTGCAAACACTTCCGGTTTTGAGGTACTCTCCACATGTGAGAGGGTAGCAGTTGTTCTTTTCTGTTTTGGTACCAGGGGATCTAACTTGGGACCTTGTGAGGCAGGCGGTGGAACCACTGAGCTAAATCCCCAGCCCAAGAACATTATTTTAAATGCAGTCAGCGAGTAGAGCCCAGAAAGCCCCAGAAAATTAGCAGCTCTCCCTCATCACTGTCATGATACATGCAACTTCCTTTCTGTGTGTGTGTGTGTGTGTGTGTGTGTGTGTGTGTGTGTGTGGGCAGGGGTCTGGCACGCATGAGTGGGCGGAGACTGAGGGAGGAGGTCTGTTCAGGAAGAAGGGGAGAGCAGTTTCAGTGGAGGGAAGAAGCTGCAGAGTACAGAGCCAGTACAGAGCCAGTACAGAGCATGTGGGGCCGCTGACCTGCTCTCGCCCCACGCTTGGGAACACTCACCGAGCAGAGCTCCAGACGGGAACCTCGGGCCTGCTGCTCTCAGGAGGGACACAGGCTGCTTAACAACAAAGAAGGAAGTGAATATTAATGAAATCTATTAATTGGCAATGAATAGTTCATTTCCTGGCTCCTGACAACCAGCTGTACAGTGGGTGCACACTCCTTAGATGTGATGGAGTGTGGCGTGGCTCTGAAGGAGATGCTGTGCACAGTGGCTTTTGTGGGGCCAGTGGCAGGGCAGAGGGCAGGACGGCCCTGCACCGAGCTGGGTTCTGCTGCTTTGCTGTTACCACTGGTGTGACAGTCAGGAGTGTCTGAGTACCTGGAGCAGAGTCTCAGCTTTCTTGTTTGTAGAATGAAGATAATATAAGGGTACTGTGGGAACTCCCTGAAAATTAAGGGTAATTTTAAACAGTCAAAGCACCCGGTCAACATGGGGTACTTTAAAAGCCAGGATGGGCTGGGGATTTAGCTTAGTGGTTCTGACGCCTGCCTCGCAAGCACCAAGGACCTGAGTTCGATCCCTGGTACCGAAAAGAAAAGAAAAAAAAAAAAAAAGCCAGGATGCATATATCGGTTGCCACCGCACACGCTTTCGAGTCACATGCCACGGGCTACCACTTACGGACAGAGAAGGAGAAAGAGGTGATTCACGTTGAACATGTGGTGGTAGTGTGGTGGGCGTTACAGGCCCTCAGTATGTCAGCAGTCTCATCAAGCAGTATTACTGGCTTAGACATTGACAGGCTTTTAGCTGAACTCTTTATTTGACATCACACTGAATCACTCCTGCAGGAAGTCTGCTCCAGGCTGTGTGAGAGGTCTTCGTGGGCTGCCATGGCCTTATTTTCTATTCGACATTGGCTGGCAGATTCTCTGCTAGAAGCAGGTTGAGTTTCGCTGACTGAGCGGCTGAAATGTCCTTTTCTATAAGGGAAGGAGGTGGGTTAGGCTTCATAGTTTTTATTGCTAGACGTATTTACTACACTTTTGCTTGTTTTTTTGGTACCGGGGTTTGAACTCAGGACCTTGCACTTGTGAGGCAGACGGCGGAACCACTGAGCTATATCCCTGGCTACTACACTTTTATTTTTCACTCTATAACACATAGGTCTTTTGCAGTCAACGTTTTACCTCTTGTTGTCAAAGACGTAAACCACTAGAGCAGATCATTTTTGCTTTGTTTGAATAGAAGTATGTTTCACTACTTAATAATATGAATGACTTGTTTAACATGAGCAAACCAAGATTAAAGAGCACCTCCTGCAGAACAGAACCCCTTACACATCGCTCATTGAACCATGCACGAGCAGGACAGTGCATACAGATGGAGGAGAGAGTTGTTGAGACTTCAGAAGTTAAAATTGAACAAATCCATCTCAGGAATAAAAGAGGGATGGGGAAAACCCCAACAGAGTTCTGTTGAATACTCAGGAGCCTTTTAGAAACTTTTTTCTACATGCTTTGATTTCCTATTTTACACATTTCCACATTTTTAGCCCAGGCTTCTCTTTATTTCCATGTTTTGTGCAGTCTGTGAAAACACTAAAATTTGTTTTACGATATAAAAGACCCAGTGCAGTATGAGTGTTCTTTTCAGCATTTCATAGCACTCTTATTAAAACCTTTGCGGTTCACTCCATAAGGAAGTGCAGTTTAACAGGAGATCCACCACAGGCCTGCTTGCCTGGGAGGATGCTTCCAAGAGAACTGGTGAGGCCCTCAGCCTTGATTAGTTCTCTGTTACCAGACAGCTGTGTTTTAATCACCTGACCGATGCATATAATGTTTTGCGCCAGTGAAACACTAAAATGACCACATCTCTAACAGATACTTTTTATGTGTCAGTGATTGGCCCCGGTGGTCAAGATCTACATTTCAAATGCATCTGTTAATCTCTTCACCTTGAAAATCACAAGGCTGTGTTCTAGAAGAGAATTATGCCTGTGGGGTCCCCCTTGCCAGAGCTCTCAGGTGTCTCCCGAAGACACTTGGATGGTGCTCCCTGCCAAGCACAAAAGCTTTGCCTCTGGTAGAAGCTGCAGATGGCTGCTATTCTGTAAGAACTGAAGCTGCACACAGCTCTGGGGAAAGATGTCCCGAAAATAAGGCCCATTCTCTACTGTTACAGACCTAATTAAAGTACACTCTCAAAAGCAAAATTGAAAGTTCAGAATGGCCCTGTGGTAATTCTGTGCATGTACTGCGCATAGTCTGAGATAATAGCAAGAAAACAGAAACAAAGATGTTTTTGATAAAATTACTTACAACAAAATACAAAGAGCTGTAAATAATAGTAGATTAACATTCTCAAGACTCATTTAGCTGTAAGAATCTCATCAGTAAACAAGGATTGATGGGGAAAATATTACTAGAAAGGTTTTGTTTGTTTGTTTTTTGAGACAGGGTCTCACCATGTAGTTGAGACTGACCTGGAGCTCACTGTGTAGCCCAGGCTGGTCTCAAACTCACAGTGATCTCCTGCCTCAGCCTCCTGAGTGCTGGGATTACAGGCGTGCGCCACCACGCTCAGCTGAAAGTTTTTTAAAAGCAGGAAAGTTTTGTATTTATAGAATGATTTCAAATATGTAGAAATACTTATTTTGTAGACAGTACAAGGACAGGTGTATGAAAATGTCACAGTTGTTTTAGAGCCCCATTGTGCCACAGTGATGAGCTGGAGACGATGCTTATAGTTTTTCGGTGTTGGGAGGGGTGAGATTACAGCTGTGCCCACGGAGACACAGGAAGAGAACTCCTGCTCCTGGATGATGGCTGGCCCTCACAGTGCTGTTGTTGCTTTGCAGTGCATCATGCACCTGGAAGACAGACTGCAGGAGCTGTACCTTAAAAGTAAGATGCTGTCCGAGTATCTGCGGGGACACACGCGCGTCCACGTGAAGGAGCTGGGTGTGGTGCTGGGGTGAGTCCCGTGATCGCTGCCCCTGCCCCTGCCCCTGCCGGCCCGGCCTCGCACCCCTGACCTTTGTCCCTGGCCATCCTCAATAGGCCTGAGAACCTTTGCAGCTCCAAGAAACACAGGTGCCTTGTGTCAGACGCCAGGTCCCAGGCCTGGGGACAGGGCGAACTTCAGGCTGGCCACCTCCTGTCAGCCTTCTCCCCGATTATGTCACCCACGGAAGGAAAGGGAACATTTAATCCCGCTCTGTCTGTCCATTTCTAGTCGCTCAGCACGATGCCAAAGTTGCAAGCTGTCAGCCGGGCTTGGGCAGCTTGTGTTTGCCTCTCACTTCCTGGAGGAGGCGTCGCAGCTTCTCCCTGTGCCCAGGCCTGCAGGTGGCCTGCTCTTCTGTCCCCGGGACAGTTGCACGGTGCTCCTGCACCCAGAGGATACTGGCTTACGTTCCCAGCTCGCACCATCTTCCGGACAGTGGAGTCATAAGTGTGTAGGGGAAATTCCGCCTTGTTTGTTCTGCTTCATTTATCAATAGAGAAGCAAAGCAAGGACAAGGCTTTGTGTTTTGGGGAAGCTGTCACTTTCATCCAGGATAAGAATTCCCTAGCTTGGAAAGAAGTACTGTGTTTATATTGTTAACTTTTCACTTCATGGAGCCTGCTGATCGGAGTATGATTTTATTCAGCCCTTTGCCCTCTCATCAGACGTGGCTCCTTCCACACCCAGGATATGACGGACTGTTGTGTTTAGCTCTTAGCATTTCCTAGCCTACATTTTTTTCTTACGTACTTCATTTAAAAAATACTTCCCCTTTTTGAGGCATTTGTTGTGCAGTTAACTTGCATTAAGGTCTTTGTTACTGTCCCCTCTGAGTTTTGTCTGTTTACCAGCCCCACAGTCCTGCCTCCTTGGGCTTCTCATTGCTGGCCGTGGCCTTTGTACTTACGGAACTTGGCAGGTATCGGTCAGCCTGAGTCTTGGTGGACCCGTGAGGACCTGTCCGCCCTTGGCCTGGTCTCCAGGTCTTGGCTCCATTACTGGTGGAGCCCAGGTCCTCCTCCGCCTTCCGCAGGCCAGCAGCACGGGAGGACTAGGTAACGTCTTGTCCGCTAAAGTAGACCTGTCTGTAGCATTACTGGAAGAGGGGTACAAAACTCACCGAGTAATGCCAGCTTCTATTTTATTTAATTTTAAATTGAAGTTTTTTGGATTCAAAGGAAAGAATAGGACATATTGCACTGAAACAGTGTAGTTTAAGCGTTTTTACCCTCAACATCTGCTCGGACACCACACTCTGCCTCTGCTCTAAAAATTTGTTTTGGTACCGGGGATCAAATTCGGGTGCTTATGCTTGCGAGTCAGGTGGCAGAAACACTGAGCTAAATCCCTGACCCTGTCTGCCTCTACTTTTTAACTTTCTTTTTTTCTTGGTACTGAGAATTGAACTCAGGGCCTCACGCCTGCCAGGCAGGTGCTGCCCTGATGAGCTCCATCCCTTCTGCCTCTGCCTCTGAGAGAGACAGCCGGAACCGTGTCCACCTGAAGCTCTTGCTGGTGCCACTGTGCTCTCAGTGCATGGGGCTCAATCTCCCTGAGGATCTCGGTTCTGTGAGCCGCTGGGACCAGACCACACAGTTTTGGGGAGAAGTGTGGCACCAGTACACCCAGAGACTGGTGTGGACCGAGGTGCAGAGTGGGTGCAGTTTCAGGGGTGTTGGCGGGGAGGGTGAGGTGATGAAGTAGTCACGCACTACTCGCTGGGGTCATGCGGAGCCCCCGGCAGGGTTCCAGACTTCAGTTGGACCAGCTGCTGCAGGCCAGGCAGCTCGCCCCCAGCCTTTGCTCCAGCTGGCCTCCTTGGGTGGTGTCTGAAGATATTTTACTGGAATTGAACCCAGGGCTTTTGCACTGAACTATATATCCCAAATTTCTTTGAGAAAGAAATTTGCTAAGTTTCCCAGGCTGGGCTTGACCTTGTGATCCTCCTGATTCAGCCTCCCAATTTTTCATGAGCTTCAGATAATGATGTTGCAAGCTTGCTACTGAGAAATAATACTTTCCTACAAAACCATGCTATGTTCAAGTCACGTTCTTTTGTTTTTAATACTCAGGATTGAATCTAATGACCTCCCTCTGTTGACTGCTGTTGCCAGCACGCACTCTCCTCACGTGGCTCAAATACTCCTCTGAGCTGAAGCTCAGGACCATTCTTCCTTGGAAGAAGACAAACAGATTCTCAGCTGAGAGGGAAAGGGATACGCTCTCTGGCTGCCTGGCTTGAGAAGAGCAAGGGGAAACCGTCGTTCCGCCCTGTGTCCTGAGATACTGCTTGCAGGCGGATGCTTTTTGGGAGACTTGGTTCACCTGACACTGGTGCCTGTGGCTTCAGGAATCCTTTCTGCCTTTTGTTCCCTGAGACTCAGCAGAGCAGGTCTGCCGCGTGGAGAACACAGCACTGCAGCGGGCGAGGGCAGGGTGAAGGGCAGGGCTCACTGCGATATTCCAGCAGCAGGCGCCTCCAGGCTGCACACGGGAGCCGGCGGAGCAGAGAGCACAGTCTGTGGAGGCCAGGCAGAAAGGCCACACCAGGCCGCTGGGAAGAGAGGTGCTGGGGCCTCTGTCCCGTTTCTTCTCAGTTTACCTTGATGCAGGTGTGGCCTCGGAGTCAGAGATGGTCGCTGGTGCACCGAGCCAAGAGCCCATGCAGTGGCCAGACAACTGCACCGTCTGCGGAGAGGCACTAGCAGGGTCCTGAGCTGGGCAGTGCCCGCTGCCCTTCCTGTAGTAGCGCTGTGGACACGGCCGGCTGGGTGGGAAGCCCGTCTGCAGCAGTTCCTTTGCATATTCCAGAGCAGTGCATGTCCGGTCGGAATATTTACATTATCACCTCCGCACCTTCCGGTTCCTATGTTCCTTTCAGAATGTCTTTCTAGAAATTCACTTGACCCTCATGTAAAGCTTACCAAAGTGAAGAGTTAGTATTCTAGTTCACTTTTTTAAAAACCCTTCATTTTCTGTTCCTATAAAGGCGACTTAGTTTGCTGACCATGAAACAGGCTGAAGCAGGCGTCGCCTCTAGAGCAGAGGGGCAGGCTGCAACACTGACCACGGACAGGCGGGAGCTGCTCTGGCACAGCCAGCCACTGTGGCGCTTTGTGTGTCCTTCGGCCTGAGGACAGGAGGCTCATGAACCATCGAGGGACTTAAGTTTGTCTCTGTTCCTTCACAAGTACAAAGTAGCTGTGTGAATCTGCCGGCTGCCCGCACCCCCAGGACCTCCCCTCGACTCTGTGAAGCGGTCAGTGGGTGTCTCCTCAAGGCTTGTAGGATTTTAAACTTTTAACTGTTGTCTTTCATACGATTGAAGTTTTCTGTCCTTTTTCATCTCTGTTGTTACGCTTGACGAAGAGACCGCACCCTCCCTGGGGTCCCACCGGCACTTGCTGTCCCTTCTGCATCAGGTCACAGCCTTACCCTCAGGTCCGCACGGCCTAGAGCGTCCCGGTCTCCAGCCCGTCTCGTTGTTTACGTCTGTGGGCACTTTGCCTCCTCCTGAGAAGAGGCCAGGAGACAGAGCCAGCTCTGTTCTGAGGTGCACCCAGGAGTGTGTGAAATTAGCCCATCCAGGGACAGCTGAGCTGTAAAGGCTGTCTCAACTCCACGCACAAAACGTTTAGCCCAGCCTTGCAAACGAGAAAACCGGCCTGTGGGCACGCGCTGCTGCAGACCACTGTGGGAGCTGTTTGCTCACGTGTGGGGTTTGCCTTGGTGGCAGGATGCCAGTCGGAGCCTGATCCTTGTGTCTGTCACCTGCTGAACACACTGGGAATGTTGCTGCCCCTGTAGCCCTGCTCTAGACACCTGCCGTCCATTCTGTTTTAAACTCAACCTCTTCTCCAGAGTGAGGGACCTTGGGGGCTTGTGTCGAGATGCGCCCGCTACTCCTCCATACACCGGGGCTCTGGGCCAGAGGGGACCGCCCTCCCCGTGCCCACCGTGGGATGAAATAAAAATCAAACAAATTCAAGAAATCTACCTCAGTTGACAGATTGGACCTTTAGGGTTTCTTCAACTTGTGAGTCTTCCCTGCTGAGTGGGACTTTCCTAGGTCTTGCTTTTCTGAGCAAGCTAGCGAGGTATGACGGAGCGAAGTACTCAGTGTTACTGTGATGGGCCTCTCCTAGCGTGTTGCAATTTCATTTCTAACAAACTGATAAGTGATATGAATGTAAAGGTAATTGTGCGCGTTTTAAACACGACAATGAAAATTTAAAGTGTAGCTTCCATACTTGTGCATAATTCCAAAGTATTTTATTTTTATCAGTGTTAAATAGCTTTTTGTACAGGCTTTAATCCATTTTTCTGAAATGTGCTGTTTTTTAATGAAAGTAACTATAATCTTTTCACATCCCATGGAATTGCTGTTTACACATTGAGACTTTTTAAACTTAACCATATTTTTCAGAATTAACTTTTTTGGAGGGAGGAAATTTCCCACTTGCTAAATGATGCTAAACTGTTGTTTGGGCTCTTGTAATTAGGTCCTCAGATTTTATAAAAGGATAATCTGTAGCCTTCTAGATTCTTCACTAAAGTTGCTGTACATAAAGAATATAAAGTGACACCCAGATTCTTTTAAATGTCTGGGTTTTCCACTAGTGACGCAGTGAGGGGATTATTTTGCTCATGCATACTTTAGCCGTTAAATTAGACAGTCTTGAGCTTCTCTTAGTTAATGTAAACCATTTGGTTTTTTTACTGTATTTGAGGAGACAGGATATTTTCATATATTTTTTGCCTAAATCCAACAGCCCACTCTAAAAAGTTAATTTTTAAGTGTCAAACCTTGGCGAGCCATCTATTTGGGAAGTGATTACAGTATGTGTAATTTTCAGTGGTGGCTAAAAACAGAAAATTCTGGGATTTGTTACCATCAAAGCTTCATTAAGAGAAATTGATAGGGACTATTTTTGATCAGTTGACTAGATAGCAATGTCAATGTATGGGGAACTTTTCTTAAAACTTGTTCATTTATTATTTTGATCCATTTTCTGTGGCATTTGGTGCAATAAACCTTTGGAATTTATCTTGAACATTTTTTGGTGCTGCATGTGATCTGTTTGTTACCTTTAATCCAAACGTGGAGTCTCCCTTGATAGTGCTCATGGGGAGACGGCCATTGCACACGGGGGTGGCTCTCGCAGTCTTTGGAAGCATGGGGCATCTGGGTTGGTTGTGCAGTTGAGGCCAGTGGTGTGGCCGGGACGACCTGTCCCACAGCGAGAGGACATCGGGGCCAGTGCCTGTGTGACCGTTAAATGCCGCTGGACATTCATGTGGATGAAACCCATTTAATTATCTAAGCCCGGAACTGAGTTCTACACATAAAAGCAGTGTTACATGATTTTAGTGTATGAGTTTTTCAGGAATGAGCCTGTTACTGCAGACAGCGAGGGAAGATTCTACTTTGTAAGGACTGTAACAGGAATTGGGTACTTGGTCTTTACTCAGAGTGGATGTACTTTTTGGAAAACTGTGTCCCCAGCGGCGACAGCGTGGAGCTGTCAGTCTGGGTGGAGCTGCCTGGTCCACAGATTGTGCTCCTGGCCTGGGAACCCCCCTTCCCTGCACTCCCTGATCCGGCGCTCTAAAGTGCTCACTGAAATACACATCACTACGTGCTGTTTTAGGTGATGCCTCTGGGAATCGTATTGGTCTGTGATAGGCTGCGTCTTTAAGTCATACTGTTTATGAGCTTCATAGTAACAGGCAGTACCAAATACTCGCCATGAAAGGGGTGAGTTAAGCGCTGTGCTCAGTCTAGAGGAAACTGCTCCGTTGAGCGTGGCTCGTCCTGACGTGGCGCCTGCTGAGTTTCACTGACTGAGAGACCATGGGGAGACGTCGGGGTGATTGCCACGTCCCCCAAAGAGCTGGAGTCGCACGCACAAGGGACGCAGACATGAGTCGCGTGCTGTGCTCAGCTCCCCCGTGCTGGCTCTGTGGTCCCCCACCCCCCGTGTCATCCTTAGGCCAGGTGACGTGGGCACTGGGCGCCGAGTCTCTGTCACTGGATGAGGCCACAGGGCTCAGGCACTTGTGAGACCCCACTCTGGGTGTGTCCCGAAGGTGCTGGAGGGGCCCTGTGTTTCAATGGGGAGCCTTGCGTAAGTGGGTTAGCCTCTCTAATGTGGGAGGGAGGGCCTGTCCAGCCAGCTGCAGGACTTAGGGAGAAGGACACCTTCCCCAGGAAAAGGGAATTCTGTCTCTGAGTTCCCCGGCTGATGAAGTAGGAGAGACCCACCCGGTGATCGGAAGCTCATTCCCCATGGGGCTGGGTGGCTACAGGCACCCCACCTAACAGAGATCCTTCACATGACCAGTGGCCTGAGTGCAAGTCAGCCTCTGAGTGTGTGCAGCAAAGAAGAATAGTTAGAAACAAAGGTAACGAGGCGGTAACCATGGAACGGGGAGGAAGATCCCTTCCTGTAAAGATTCGCTCTCAGCGGCAGGTCAGTCCCGGTGTCTGCATCTCCCTGCTCACCGGACACCAGATCACCAGGTAGCAGCTCTTTCTCATGTTCTGGTCTTCATCTACTGACCGCTGCTCAGAGGTAAAATGATTCACCCATATTAACCCCGTCTCACCGTCCTGCTTCCCTTCCTTTGACAGCTGAGCATTTCTGGAGTCCACTTGGCCTTCGCTGCTTTGCCCCAGTCACTCTGCTCCCCGTGTGCCCTATGTAAACCCCGTAAACCCTTCCCATTTCTTACAGAAATGTCCTCCGAACTCAACTCGCTTTCAGAGCAGACTGTCTAATCAGGCCTCTTCTGGCTGACATCTAAATCTTTCTACAACGAAAATTGCATCCTGTCCCTCGGGTTCCAGTGCAGAACACCCAGATGCCTGTGTGATGTTACTCAGATGCCCAGCTGCTGCTGCCTGTTCTCCAGCCAGCTCTTCTTCAGTTGCCAGGCTGATTCCACACTCCTGGGCTGAAGCAAGCCTCCTGCCTCAGCCTCCCAGGTAGCTGGGACTACAGGCCAGCAGCACCACACCACACCTTTGCACATGCTACCCAGCCATCACACGTGGTGACCTCCCCGGAGGTTCTGTAAGCATGGCCTTTGCCCTGTGAATCTGTCCTCCCCAGTCAGCCTCGCCCCTTCCCCCATCCGTTATAGCTCAAAGTTCCATCCATTGCCACCTTGCTGACTGTGTAAGGTTTGCAGACCCACAGCAGCGAGCTGCACTGCGGGGACTGAGTCGCCGGCGCCCCCGGCCTGCAGAGCTCACTGTTTTTCTCGGCCCCCACGGGGTTCACATGCGCGTGGAGAGTTGGGAAGTCAGAATGAGTGTGCTGATGGGGAAGGAAAGTGTGCGGTGAGCACATCTCAGAGACGAGCGTAAGTGGACGGGCAAAGGTCAGGGCCATCCGCTTCCCAACAGTCACAGAGCTGCGCTGGTGTGGAAAAAGCTAAGACCAAGAAAGGAAAGTAACGTGGGAGAGAAGACAGAACTTGAGGCATTGTGTGACTTTTAAAGAGGAGCTTGGCAAACGGGCAGATTAGAGAGTCTCTTGATTGAATTCTAGAAATATTTTAAATAGCATTTTAGGTAAATGTGTACAAGAATTTATATGCAAGAGTTATATTAAACGTCCTACACTGAACTTTTTAGACAAGATTGGGCACATTCAGGGTGCTCTGGCCGTAGACAATTGTACTTCTTAAAAACATTACAGTTAAACTTTACTCTCAGGCTTTTGAGTAGGAATACATACTTAAAACCACCGCATTTTCAACTATGTATTTATCTCACAGTTCGTAGAGGTTTCAGTCCCTAATGGGTGGCCCCAAGGCAGATGGTGAGACGGGCACTGCACAGGAGAAACAGTACATGGCAGGCAGGCAGAAGACTGCAAAAGCAAGCAAGCAAGGGGCCTCAGCAGCCTCTTCTGCCCCTCTGCGCTCTAGACTACCAGGACTAGGGCGGTGCCAGACCAGTCAGTGGACTGCTTTGGTAATCGTACAGCTAGATCCAGCCACCTCTGGAAAGCCCCATCAAGACTGCGGTGAGGCTTTGGGGGACATCCAGACACAGCCATGCCATTCCCCCAAACCCTGAGACAGGAATGTACTTCTTCGCGTCTCCATGCAAAGTTCAGCTTGCAGAGGGATGTACCGGCGTCTCGGGTGGGAGGAGAGGTGGCCATTCTTGGGTGGCCAAGTGTGAATCCCCGCGGCGGAGCTTCTCACCTGTGGTGTTTGTTGTTTGCTTTTGACTGTACAGAAGCACTTGCTTCCCTAAACAAGACTTATGTAAAAAAGTAGGGTGGGTGCCTACTGTCTACACCTCTGTGGGATGGTCCGAAAAGAAAGCAACTTTCCCATGTATGTCTTGGGAGCAAAGGTGACTAACCATGCTCACCAGTGCTGAGCTAGAATTACTTCTGGGGCCTTGGATGTGAGGTGCCCGAGCCACATGACACATCTGGAGCTCTCTGTGGGGAGCAGCAACCCCACACTGAGGACTCGGAGCCAGCATGTAGCCTTCGAAAGTGTGGGTGCCATAGACCCCCAAGACTGAGAAGCTGTGTGACCCCAGCAGGAATGCTGGGCCAGGGAAAACAATAAACTAACAAAATTTATCTGTGAACTCTAGGTAACGATGTATCAATGGTAAATTTCCTGCATCTTAAAACTGTACTGTAAGCCAGGTGTGGTGGCGCACGCCTGTGACCTAAGTCTGGAGGGGTGGAGGATGAGGGCTATAAGTTTGAAGCCAGCCTGGGCAACTTAGCAAAATAAAAAAGGAAAAGGGGAGGGCGACTGCGATGTATCTCAGGTTCCCTGAGTTCTGCCACGTAGTATTTAGGACACAGACCCTAAAATATTTAGCAGTGAGTCAGCATAATGTGTGCCATCTGTGCTCAGATCTTATATGTCCACGGAGGGGGAGTATTAAAGCATATAAAATTAACAACTGGTAGACCTATGCAGAGTA